CTCTCTCTCTCTCTCTCCTCTCTCTCTCTCTCTCTCTCTCTTCTCTCTCTCTCTCTTCTGGATAAAAAGGGTGGGTCTCTCTTCTTTTGGGACCCATCAAAGTCGAACCCAAGGCTACAATGCGAGCATGGCAAATCGACACGTGTGCGATCGGGCGTGTATGCACGGATTAATTCTTCGATGCGCTTGATCCAAGCGAATGAGATATCGAATCGCTTAGCCGACGTGCGTATGCATAAAGAAGGCGCGCTGTGGCAGAGGGAAGCCGTCCATTTTCTTGATAGGCCGTACGGGCGAGGAGGAGGAGGAGGATAAAAAGGGTGGGTGAGGGAAGATCGGGAGGGAGGGAGGAAGACCAGAGAAGAACCGCATCCTCCCCAAATCAAGCGCATCGCCGTGGCTTATTAAGCTAACATCTCAATTTGAGCATCACTCGTAGTCCAGGGTCGCCTGGTTCAGTTCGAACTCTGGTGGTGCGGAGCCTAATCTGTGAGCGCCTCTTGCTTTTTGGAGGCAGGATGAAACGCAAGGAGAGGAATAAAATAACAAGGTGCTTGATCAGACGGAAAGCCATTACTCGTTGCGGGCAGAGTGAAAAAACATCGAGGATGGAGTTGGGTAGAAAAAAAAGAAGATTTTTCGGAAACGTCGCGCTCGGTGATGCCTGAGCTAAGGGAGAGAAAGAAGATGGAAACCTTGGCTCATAATACGTGGAGACCGGCGCCCCTCTCTCCCTCTTTTGCGCTCGCTCACTCTCTTTCTCTCCCTCTTTTTCTCACAGCATCACCATGTGGCATGCGGCCAACTACCGCCTCCTGATCAATATGCTTACCAAGTTCTCTTATCCCTTACTTCACCATACATATAAGAACGACTATGGAGAGCCGCAAATATTATTACTCATATAGAATTTCTACCGGATCAGTGAGGTTCTTTTCCAATCCCGCCAAGCACTCCCAAAGTCCAGATAATCTAATGCTTAACCGACTTTTGCGATTTAATATCGTCAGAGCTTTAGTCAATTAAAACGTAATATGCTTAAGAGGCAGTATCACGTATTCTTTAATATCGTTATTTTAATTAATTTAAGTAGCTCCTATGTTAAATGAATAATATTTTTTTAGATATATGATTTTTTTTTCCAAATTACATTCATACTAAATTGCAAAAGAAACATATTTTTATGTTTCTTTCATTTCGAAATTATTATATTTAAACCAATTTAATATTGAATATGTGTGACTTAAGTGTGATCCTAAATCTGTTATAACATTAATCTCCTCTAACTATCTAACTATATTATGCTTTACTAATTGTCTTATGATTCTTTTTATAATATACGTATTAAAAATGATATGTTTATTAGAAAATAATTTATTTATAAAATTATAAATTTACTCCAAATTACTTACTATCTTATTATTGTAATAATTGTTTTGAATTTTGTAGGATAATTGAAAGTTACAATCAAAGAGTATAGATAAAAAATAAAACATTTCTTCACTGAACTATAATAAAACAATAACAAAAGTAGTACTATACGTTCTTATATTTAAGTTAATAAAATCTATTTATATACAGGGATAACTTTTTAACTTCACTTTATTAAGTATTAACATTATTATTTCAATATATAATAGCATTTTTTTTAAATTTTAATATTTATCTATATAATGTAAAATCTTTCGCATCAAAATTGATTGAAAAATATAATTACTCAATTTTAGATTATAGTTTGAAATTAATTATTACGTTAAATACATTTTCTAATAAACTACGTTGACAATAAACAAATTAAAATTTTTGTCAGAAAATTTGTTTATGGTGCTGCAGTGTTTGAAAGAATGTGTATTGAGATAAAAAAAATCAACTGGAAGTATTGCTAGGCCTATCCATATTATATAAATGTGCAAAGTAAGAATAGAATAATAAATTCAAGTCGCATGTGAAATATTAAATATGATGTTTCTTATTAGTAGGAATAAGTAAGAAGTCAATTGGTTATATAAAAATGTTTTGCGACGATCAAAAAGTCAATAAACTAAATTCTTATCGCATGCTGTTAATTAATAATGCACCTAAAAGAATTTTGATTTACGTCGATGAATTATATGAAAACGGCAATTAAAAGCGTACTTTTACATTTTTTTTTTTTTTTTTTTTTTTAATTTAATTTTAAACATATAAATTAATAGGTGTTACATATAATAAATTTATTCATCATAGAATTATAGATTAATATTATGACGTTATTATGTAGTATTATGACAGTATTATTATTATCTTCAATTATAAAACATTGAAACTGCTTACTGCGTTTTATTTTTGAAAATTATTTCAGTGAATTGAAAGCAATTATTTTGATGTCACACAATGATTAAAAATTTCTTTTATTATTTAAAGGAACTGTGAAAATATTAATAATATATAACATCCATTAGCAGTTTACGTGAAGTACTGTTGTGTGAGATTATCCACTTATTTTTGTTTATTAACAAACGAAATTCTGAATAATATATAATGTAAGTATATACAATTTTATATTATTATATACAATATAATAATAATAAATGAAACATAAAAACTACCGTGTAAAATGTATATGAGTATATGATGATAGATATTTGCTAGATTTTCGTAAGTTAAGGATTTATACAATAGGTTATTATTTCTTTACTATTGATCATAATGACACAATATCATCATTTTTAATGATACATAATTTTATATTTTTATTAAAGATTATTTCATTATTATGCATAAAAAAGAACTTATCATCATCGAGTAAGACTATTTCTTCTCTGAATTCTATCAAATATAATTTGTGGCTTTAAATATCCGGACACTATATTAAAAATGCTATTTCTATATAAATAAATGATATAATTAATAATTGAGTCACATTGCTTTTTCGATGGTATAATAATTGCTTTATAAATAAGTTTATTTCGATAATAATACAATGAATTTATATATTATTATAATCTAATAATATTTCCAATATTGGCACATTGAAATATATAATTTAATTAATAATGAAATTATTTCGTTTATCTGGCAAATAATATTATTTGTATAATATTTTTACATATCTATTACTTGTAAGGCCATTGAATTTAATTTCATTAAAAAAGAAAAACCAAAAGAAAAAAACAACAAACGAAATAATAATGAATTTATGATATAATTCACATTCGACGAAACAAATTGCTTTATCTAGCTATTATTATGTGAAGAAAAGTTTGCGGGGCAATAATTCCGTAAACAAATCGTAAATCGCCCCCGACAATTCAATGGCTAAAAGGTAGATAAATCAGAAGAGCGCGTTAATTGTCAGATGGTCAATATTTTCATAGATCCCGGATAGAACATTGGAGTCATTATTGGTGGAGACATGGCAGGACCACGCGAGAGCCACGTGGTCTCTCGTTTTCTTTTGGCATTAGACGTGCTAACGTTGAGTTGAGCGCAAAGTAGAATCGCAGTCATTGCTGATCTGGCCGTGAAACGCCTGCGCAAGCTTTGCAGCTTCCCAACTATGAAATGGACCGTACCCCCTTCGAAGCTAGGATTGCATAAAGCATGCCGTCTTGGCGTTGAGATTGGAGATCAGTTCGGTATGTAGAGAGCAGATTGCCGGTAGAGTTTCATCCGGCAAGAGGACAGTTTCTCTTTTTGTAAAAGCATCGTGGGTGGGTGGATTATAGTGGTGGTTGTCGTGGTGGCAGCGGCGGTGGTGGCGACGGCAGCGAGAGCAGCGGCTGCGGCGGCGTTAGTAGTAGTGGTGGTAGTGGTGGATGAACCTCAGTGCCCGGCGCGCCTCCGAGAAGCGTGCTTCGGTTGTATTGTATACGTCATATGGTATCCTTTGGTGGTGTCATTATATCGCGAGAATATTAATACCGCGATATATGCATTGGGCATATACATGTATGTATTTATTTATATGCTTACGCATATGCACATGTACGTATGCACGCATGCACCGGTGATACAGATGAGCGACACTATTTACAATTTATATAGAGAAAACTAGTTAACATTTTGTGAATTATAGGCAACATGGTGAATTCTTGTGTTTCGATAAAGAATCCACTGCGTTTAGTGAATTTTTTGTAAATTTTATGGAGAGAAGGAGAGAAAGGGAGGACCTGTGCAAGCATAATCGGAGACGATTGAACCAGTCACGTTGAGTATTCGAAGCAATTGAACAATAGATGTATACATTCCCTTCGCATCCAGTTAAAAGATTAAAGATATTTATGAATAATTAGCCAATTTGATCATTTTCAATTGAAAATTTTCTTATTCTAGACGGAAATTGCTCTGCGTAAATAAATGCACGAGAGCTAAGTATAATATTCGAAGGAGCAAAAGCTTGAGCCTTATAGCAGCGGCACCACCCTTTGCGCGATTTGGGTTGGATGACACTTTGTGAGTTGAACAAGCGTTGTTAGACTTTTTAAATGGTGCATCACCATCGTGTGAGCCTTACTCGTAGTGAAACATTAGGTGTACATCGAAAATATCCAAGAAAATCTAAACGACCCTAAGATTAGATAAAATTTTACATCCGATAAGCCAAAAATAGTATAGCACAGAAATAAATTGAAAATCTTGCTTTAAGAATATATCAAGACTGCTCTTGATAATCGTTATAACAATATACCCAGTTTGAGAATAGCTACTTTTTTCATATAGAAATTAATGATTAATGTTCCGTCTCATTAATGAGAGCAAATTAAATTAATCTTATTGCTTTTTTTATAACATTAGTCACAATTCACTCGAATAATACAATAAATACAATTGAAGTTAATTAATTTATTTCTACAATTTCTGAATTATACTCGCTAATTTTAATTAAACAAACGGTTAAAATATAGAATGCTAGAAAGTGATTATAGTGTTACGCGAATGGCAAAAAAGATAAGCAATTTGAAGCTACAGAATTGCGGGGTCAATAAGAATTCTTTAAAAGAGGCTCCGGTTTATTGGTAATGGGGGGTTTGGGCGAGGATGCCTTCTTCCCGTTATTGCACTCATCATCTTCTGCCATCTCATCTCTTACCGCTGTCACCTCCACGAAGGAATATCCTTTTACGGAGATTTCGACCGATCCCTTCAGAAGTAAGAGAATTCTCTCGATCGCGAACATACGCAAACACAAGGATAGCAATAAAACAACTATCGATTATTATATTAGTAAAGGAAGGAAAGCGCGATTTACAATTGGCAACGCGCGCTCTGATATCAATATCATCGTGCACGAATCAATTAATTTATTGTCGACGGAAGAAGAGAAGGGAAACAATAGCTGGTATATTAGAGAGGGATCACGATTTACCGAAGCAATACGTGCTGGAGGTAGAAGAAAGAGGTGACTCGCCGCCGAAATGCACCAGATGCCCAATCGATCTAAACTTGTCAATTTCGAAGCAAAATCATCCTCCTTGAAAGTAAAATTAGTAGACACAAGTAGCATCCGTTTACAGAAACGTCATCATTGTCATCATTACCATAGACGAATTGAGAAAATTAAAGAGCACGATGAGGTGGAAGAGACACCACCGATCTCTACGTACAGCAGTAAATTCTGGTCACAGTCGGGATACTTTGCTCAGAAGCTTTTCAACTATAGTGGACCACTACTGCATGGATCATTTTCAACTTTAGTATTCTTAATATTGCTTTCTTGGAGTTTAACGCTTTGCCCATCAGTCCTGGCACGACAAAGTCTGCATCAGACATGCCCAGGCTGTCCACATCAACAGCATACTCACTTACATCGTAGCACTAAAGATTCTGAGCCAAATCCCGACGATTTAAGATTAGAGGCGATTAAGCACCAAATACTATCGAAGCTCGGCTTAAGAAGCCGTCCCGATGTCAATAGGACTTTGGCTTCGGTACCGAAACGTCTCGCACTTGAGACAATTTATAGAGCTGAAGCTCAGCAGGCTGCCAGGCCTTCTATGTCTGAAAAAATAATGAAACACCATACTAATAATTACAATAGAAATCATCCAGACACTTATGAAGAATATGGTGGCGGCGATGAGTATTCTTATAAAAACTTAGAACAGACAGGTGGCGAAGTAGACGGAACTGAGACTACCCACAAAATACCTAATTACCAAGATTATGATGATCTTTACGGGTCACCGCACGAGCCGGAAGTAATGGATGATTTCTATGCTAGAACTTCAGAGATTATCACTTTTGCAGAACCAGGTAGGTGCAGACTTTCATATACAGATACCTCAGTATCTTGATACAATGTCCAATGCTTAGTTCAATTATAGATTTAAAAAAAATATTATATTGGTAATATGATTTAAAATAATTGATAATCTGAGAAATTGTGTTTTAATAAGTGGCATTATCGTTATTATAATTATTATAAATGAATAAGATAAATTCCTCTACTATGTTCACGAGATGTGCATTTAATACAATTGAGCATTATGTATTTATGAAATATATTTTAATAAAAGCAAGCTTATGTTATGAAAATTTATTGTTGCCTTAAACATTAAGCGCATTATGACGGATTTTCCTGAACCGTAGGTTCAAGTTAATTTAGTTAATCTAGTTAATTTAGTTAAGTTAATCGATTAATTGTATTTTATTAAAGATAAAATTAATGTTTTCATAATTTACTAATCAATATATTTATTTAAAGTCATATTTATTATTTGATAGAAATTTGTGAAATCAAACTATATGGCTCTATTCATATTAATAAGAAAATCAAAATCAAATTAATATTTCTATTATTAAAACAGATAATATTTATTAAGCATTAGTTATTAATAGTTACTAAAGTTAAATTATTAATGTTTTATTATGAAATTTTATACTATATCGTAATAAAACACATTTACACACAAATTTTAAAAAATGAGTAGATTTATAATAATAATAATCAAGTATAATTTAGTGAAATTAGCATAACGTTAAATATATGTCAAATTGGCATAATATAAGTTTAGCAATTGAAAATTACATATAGTTGAATGTATTAAATATTTTAAAAGAAATTATAATAATTAAGGAAATAATTATATATTTAGAATTACACACGGATAATTATTTATATAAGCAATTCATTATGCAGTGATTGTAATAGTAATGATTGAGATCGTTAATCTATAATTAAAATGAAATAGAAAAAATATTTATAGTATTAATGGAGACATAAATCAACCAGCATATCTATATATATATATATATATATATATATATATATATAGACTGAAGTATTCGATTAAATTCAAATGAAAACAAAATAATCTTGGAATAATTGAAAACTAAATTTTATAAGTTTGTGTACATAGCGAAACAGATTAATTTGAAATAAAATGATTATTTTAATAAGAGAATAATATTGTAAATGACTGAAGCGTAAATTTTAAAAATATATATATGCAAATTCTATATTGAGTATATAATAATGTCTGTTTATTTTCAGAAAAGAAATAATTGAACTAGTCAACAATTATTATTAAGTTTTATTATTAAATACAATTTTCACTATAATATATATATAAAAGAATAATACACTATACACAATATAAATAAATGAAATATTTTCTATTTTTAATTAAATAAATACAAAATCTTATTAAACTATTATAGTTTATATATATATATATATATATATATATATATATATATATAGATATACACATCTAAGTGTTTGAAAATTATTATCAATTGTACTATAAGTATTCTTAAAAATCTTTAATAGATTTTATATGATATATTCAATACGATTTAATATTGAAAATATGATTGTCTAAAAATATTTTTATATTTTAAAGTTGTAATAATTGAAATAATATCACACTAGATAAGGAATAAAATTATTGTACATAAGCTTCCTAATCATATAATTTATAATCATAATATTAATAAAACAAGACGTATATTAATCCTTCTATGAATAATTCCAAATAGTATAATTATAAATTAATAAATATAAAGGATTACCATGATATTTGAATTAAGTGATGTGATTATTATATTGTATATATGCACATTATGTATGTATGTTAATTTCGAAACAACGGTAAAGACATATTTATTATCTATTTTCATCTAATATAAAGAAAAATCGATATAGCCGTTTCATCAGGTAAGTGACATAATAAATACTCAAAGATATAAACTTAAAAAATAAAAATATAACGTCTATTGACTCTAAACAATAAAATACTCATAACAATAAAATAATGAATGCTAATCAGAAATATCATTTACTTGGCATATATATTTTTTATGAAATTATATTTAGATGAGATCGCTAATTGATGGGTCTTATTATTAATTAAAAATCTTTATTTATATTTTCATATTATAACAAAATGTGTAGGTTGGATTATTATTCGCGATAAATCTTGCTAAGATATTTATTACATATAAATATTCATTATATATATATATACATATATATGTGTTTGTTTGTTTGTGTGCGTGTGCGCGCGTGTGCGTGTGTGTGTAAAGAACATGAAATCACAACACATGAAAAATATAAGCTTCCTTGATAAGGAGTATAATACCATTGATCATTGCACATTGTGTGATATGCTCCAGAGTGGCGATGTTCTGTATCACAATGCTTTAAACCCTGAAGTGCATGATCCACAAGAACATCATGTTTTGTAAAGTTGGTGCCTACTTTTTGCACACCAATTTTTTTTAAACGCTTATTTAATTTTAAAAATTGCACATAACAAACACGAGTTTATAAATAATATCAACCTCCCTAAAGTGCATATGTAAGAATGAAATAAAATTATTTCAATTTTTTTAATGAATATACTATTGTATTATAATATCTTTGTAACTAAGAATTCAGCTCATTACTATATTAAATACTCACAATAAAAACTAATAAATATTTATAGTATTTATTTAAAATTTATAATAATTGAAATGTGGAAATCAATATTGTATAATGATATCTAATTTATGGATGATAAATTATAAGTCAAATACTGCCAATAAATCAATGAATAATTAAAATAAATTTTATATGAAGAAATCATCATTTAAAACTATTCTACTGTTATATAATTATCTTTAATATGTTTAATATATTTATATTATATTTGGCTTATTCAAATATATATATATATATATATATATATATATATATATATATATATATATATATATATTATTTACTTAACTATTTAAGAAATAGAATAAATATTTATTTCAATAAGGCATCTATAATTATATGTAACAGTTAAACAAATTGTTTTCGTTTTTATGCGAATTTGAAATGTTAAATTATTACAAACTATCTTTATTTAAATAATATTGATATATGTACTTAATATTATAGTATGTAATATTTTTAAATAAACTTTCTTGCGTTACTATAAGTTTGAATCAATTTAGTTTATATTTAAAATTATTTCACAGATTACTCATTATAATTAACGTGTAATAATATTTTTTAAATATTTCTTTTATAATCAAATCATGTTTTGTATATTTCATTTAATTTTGAAATTATATACATCTTGACACTGATATTTTTTTAATAATCAATTATTCGAATAATCAACAGAATGTGAAGAATTATAGTTTAAATAAGTTGATAGAAAATTTTACCAAATTTAATGCTCGAGGATAAAAATTGGTGATAATCAAGAGATGAAAAAATAATAAATTTATATTTTGTTTTAAAATACATAATATCATAAATAATAACTATTAATATTTATATTATTTAAAGAAAAGTATATAAAAATGAGAAATGTTATAAATTATGGTAACAACAATTTGAAATTAAACATATTATCTCAAAAACCATGTAACACTTTTTAATAAATAATTTAAAAAAATAAGTTTCAAGATATCTTTGAAATTCACATAATCATCAATTATACGTTTCAATGAAATTAATTTAAGTTTGTTAATACGATTAACCTATTCATTTTTCATACATAAAAATTTTGATTTTTTAATAATCTCTCGAATATTTAATTATTCTTGCGGATTGTCATATTATCTAGAAAGTGTAAGCGCCTCTAAAGCATTAATCATAAGAATTACTATAAAAAAGTTACTAATGAAAAATATAATATTGATCGCAGTAAATGTGGAAGTTAACTAATGAACCTTATTTCATAGAATTTTATAGTTGATAAAAGACCTTATAAGTTATATATGTGCTTTCAAGTATTTTGAGTTTTATAGCATTTTAACATTTTAAATATTTTGTAATTCTTGTCATTTAGAATTAGTATATTTACTACAGGTTCAAGCTATTCCCATGTTTAAAATTAAATTTGATTTCAGTTTCATTTCGAAAATCGGTCAAAGCATTTATCCAAAATCTATAACGCATAGTCACGCATTTATACATCTACGTACATCAATTTTGGAAACTACCCAAAATTGAAATTACTTATCATTAATTTTCATTTTCAAGATTATATGTTTTTTGATATAACGAAACGATATATATATATATATATATATATATATATATATATATATCGTGACTCTCATGTATTGTGATTATATTTTGAATTCTTATAGAATTATCGTAAAGTGACATTTATTTTTATTATTTTGAAGTATAATATTCAGATAAATATATAGATTAATTATTATATTAGAACTATTATTTAAATATTTTATTATTAAAACAAAAAAATCTTTATACAAATGAGATGAATTGTACTTAAAATAGTTGCAAATCAACTAAATTAATTACGGAAACTAAACAATACGCAATTTTTATTTTCACACGACTATAAATAGCATTTAGATCTTTAGTTCTACTCTTTTCTATATAAGTGGTTTCATTCTTCGTGAACAGCAACAAGAAACATAGCAATTCACTATGAAAAAAAAGAAGAAATTAATATTGTTATTTCGTGATTGTAGATAAAAATATTAAAGATTTACAATAAAACTCAATTTAATCGATTGAATCTTATTATTGATATCAGAATTAGTATAGTAAAATCTTGAAGTACACTTTCTAATAAATAATGCTTATAAATAATATAATTAGGTTTTTATAATTTTGAAGTGCCGATATCACATATTTATTGAATTATATTGTTAATCAGCTGTTTATGTACATTTATATTAAATCAGATGCTTATATTTTCTAAGACATTTCAATCATCTTTACTGCTTGTTAAATAATTTTAGCCATCTCCTTCAAACTTGTATAAGATTCAATGAACAATTTATGATTAATG